GTCATGACTCCTTCGGCAGGAGCTCCGGCTCAGATATGGCCTGGTAGAGCACGAAGCCCATCTCATCGATTTCCTCTTCCAACAGCTCACAGAAGAGGTTGATTTTGGGGTTGAAATAGGAAGGCAGGACCCCTTTCTCCAGGTAGCCTACCAGCTCTTCAAGCACCTGCTGGAACCTGTCAGCAAGGCTTTCTTCTGCCCAGTCCGAACTGGTAGCACTGAGGTGAAGGACGACATGGGTCAAGGGGCTGCCGCTCAGTTTCTGCAGGGCGGGATGGCTCTTGCAGACGCCGTTCAGGATGCGGAGGCAGTGCTGCCGAGCCCCGGAGTCACCAGCATCCAGCTCCTTCACCTTCGAGACCTCTGCCCTGTAAAAGCTCTCAAGCCAGAGGTTTTCCACCAGCCCTTCAGGAGGAACAGCCAGAAGAACTTTGTCCTCCATTTCCACCACCGGGAAGAGGGTGATGCTCAGCTCGACCTGATCATGTTTGACTTCCAGCTTCAGCTCCTGGGAGGCCACGACCGGGTGGATGACGCTCCCCAGCAGACTGCCTATGGCCGGCCAGTTGATGGAGGCCACCAGCATCTTGTGGAGAGTCTCATTGAGCGCGTTGGAGGAGAGGTACCGGCCCACCATGAACCTGTCCCAGGGGCTGCACCCACGAGGGAAATACTCCAAATCAGTCCTCTTGATCATCCAGTACTGGGGGTTCCTCACCACGGTGTCCTCTCCCGGGATGAGGCTCCAAAGCGCGGCATCAAGGACCACTGGCAGCATGAGGTAGACGTGGTCAGCTGCCAGAGCCCCGAAGCCATCAAGCAGGGGACCACTGAGGAAGAGGCTGCTGAAGGGCAGCTCCGGGCACTTGCTCCGTAGGAAATTCTGCAGTTGGGTGCAGATGCTCCTGGCCAGCTGCAGGACGAGGGATGCTTGTGCCTTGGGCACAGCCAGCCGGCTGCTGTAGTGGGAGAGGAGCTTCTCCTGCAGCGTGAGGCAGCGCGGAGGGCTGGATTCAACCCGAGGAGTCTCCAGAGGGGCAAAGCAGACCCTGGGCTCTGTGAGACAGGGATGGGCAGAGGGGAGGGAGAAGTTACAGCTCTGAGCAGATCATCTGCACCATAGAGCAACAGCTTCCCCTGCCGCAGCCGAGGGGGAGGCACAAGCTGGGTGACCAGCTCTTAGCCCACCTCTCCGGACACAAGGCTGACCTTGCCAAGAGGACCACCACCGAGTCCTCAGATGTTCACAGCACTTCTCAGACAAATGAACCTCAAAACCTGACAGCATCTGGCCTCACTCCCCAGCTAGAGATGGGTAAACCAGGCTAAGCAGCAGCAGCTGGGCAAGGGACTCACTGCCAGGGTCCCGAGTCTCAGCCCCACTGTTTGCCCCTGCCATGCTCAGGCAGATCCAGCCTGCCCCGATGCCTGCCTGATCGCTCGAGTCCTGCCAACGATCTCACGCCGGGTGCTGTATCTCAGGACCTGCCCTGCACCGAGCTGGGCTGCCTTCCCACTTGGAAAAACGCCGTCTTTGTAGGCAGCCGGACAAGGCAGCCTTTGTCTGTGGCGGCTCACGAGCGCACCTTCCTCTAGGCAGGGCTGACCCAGAAAACAAGTACAGCAGACACCAGTCAAGAACAAACAAAGCCCCAACAGCCTCCACCACGCCACAGCAGCCAAGACGCCCAGGACAGTATCGGATGTGCCGTTACTGCAGGCATTGCCTAAAAAGGGGCCGCGGCTCGGGAGCCTCCCAGGAGGGAGGGCACAATTGAGTCAGCTTTCCGGACACAGAACTAAAAATAACATGGAGGTCCCAGAAAGCAGGGAGCAGCAGGCACAGACGGCCTAGAGTAGATCAAGGTGATCTTCCCGGCTGTGGCAAGAGCTGGCACGCACACCGTGAGCCTCACCTGGCAGCGGTGGCCGAGCCGGAGTGAGCAGAGGCTCGCTGAGGTCTTCTCTTCTCTGCTTCTTGGGGGGTTTTGGCGTTGCCTTGATTAAGGCCAAGTCCTGCCAGCTCTCCTCCAGGGTCTTCTGCTCAGCTTTGGGATCGCCTTCATCGCGAGGGCTGGTGGCTCGGTCTATCAGCTGGAGGGAAGGAAAACCAGCATGGACAAGTTATTATCATTGTACCATTTCCCTACGGTCACACCCTGAACTAAGGGGGACGACAGCCCCTCTGGTACATGCATGGGGAGACACAGCACCTTGCAGGGCTTCTGCTAGCAAAAATATACAATTTAGGGGACCATAAAGATGTGCATTATCTTCCTGGAGATTTTAAGGGGAAAACAGTCAGGTGTCCAAACAGGAATTAGGCCTGAGGTGCCTTTTTGGACATCCTGAACCCACCAAACACACAGCTCAAGGCAAACAGGGTGCGGGGTTGCACGTGTCCCCGCAGGGTGGGAGCGGGTAGCTCCATTCTCATGGCGCTGCCGCTGGCACCGGTGGCATTTCTGCCCGACTTGAGGGACCGGCTCCAAAGGGAGCAAAGCAGCTCTCCTCCACGGGCTGGCCGGCCTCTCCTGCCCTCCAAGCCCCGACAGTGGCCGCGCCAACCTTACCCGCTTGACAGCCCGCGGGGC